AAACATATTGATCCACCAAGAAATGAACTTATTGATCTACCCTTGTAAACAATGAATAATCTATTAAAAGATACAAACTTACTGATTCATTTTCGTAAAACAATGTATGATCCATAAAAAAGATACAAACTTATTGATTCACCCTTGTAAATACTGTTTAATTCTATAAATAATGTCTAATCCATAAGAAAGAAATCTTGAAACAGGCAGAAATACGGCCATAAAATCAGTAAAATAAACTCAAGACTGATTCTAAGAAAAAACTCAGCTTGAAAATAACAAAAAATGAAACTATTTCTTTGGGGTTTACAAAGAATCAGACGAGAAAGGAGAGTAACAAAGAACCCTTTTTTTCATTTGGAACTGAAAAATAAAAAGTCAGTCAGTCCCACCAGCCAAAACACACAGCAGCCCCTCCTCTAATAATGAATTTAATTAGACGTTAATTTTTTCCCCTATTCGTCTTTTTTTTAAGCATTATAATCCCACTCAAAATCCCTGTCAGAAACTTTTTTAGATCGTTTCTTGTCTGATTGTATTTTCTAAGCATTGTAACGAGAAACAAAGACATTTCGTATGCACACATGACAAAAACATGCTTGCCGACTGCAAATTTTTGTTCAGTGATTAGCGCTTGTTGCTGGGAATACATGAACATAATCAGTTTCAGTTAAATGTCAAAAGAATACCAATAAAAGTTTTTCCTTAAAGCTTTTAAGAATTTTTGAACCAACTTCTTATAGGAGACACCAAACTCGCTGTTAACCCCAACCATCGACAGCTCTAGATACCCATATTGAAGTTGGCTTTGCATTCAACTCATTTTGAAATGTCTAAACTATCAGTGAAATATAACCGTTTATTCAGATCAATGATTAAAAATGGCATCAAGTGACTGAATCCTTTTGGTCTTAAAGAAAATAATCTTTCATCAATTCCTATAGACTGGAACTACAAAATCCCAAAGAGCTTTAACAAATATCGAACACAACACTTGAACACTTCCAACAGCCACAACAACAACAAAAATAGCTGGCCTCATGTACATGTCATACTTTGCATTCAGCTCATTTAGAAATGTCTAAACTAGGCATGGGCAACTTTTTCTGATCAGTCGACAGCATCAGATATGGATACATCATAAGATGGGCTCCACTATTATAAAGATTCAAGATGCCTCAGCCATTTCAACTACAGAAGGCCATATGTGTAAACATCTGACTTAGAAATGGTGAAAGGTTGATTTTCCTTCTTTTTTTTTTTAAGAAAAGATTTCTCAGTATTAAAAGACTTCTTGCATTATTTACATTATTCGGACTGTTATCTTCATCTTCATTGCAATATTCACAATGTTTCGGCCATTGCATACTTCTTCAGATGACTGGAATTTCTAACTGAACCCTTTATTTTGTCCACCAGAGTAGATTGCCACATGTCATGCCACTTCTGGATGTCTCAGTTATTTCCCTTTAACTCAACTCTCCAAATCTTGGTTCACCATTGCTGTGGACTGGTATTGAACTCACAACTCTGATCTAAATAACGCCTTTATCCACTGGGGCATGTGTCCCTGAGAACATGTGTATGAACCTTTTTTTTTTTTTGAGACAATGTTGTGAATATGGCAACAGTCCGAATAATGTAAATAATGCAAGTAATCATAATACCTCATCTCAGAGATATAGACAGATCCTGATGAAGGCCGGAGCATACAACAGCCAAAGAATTGTGAAGATGGCAATGAAATTGAGGATATCAGTCCAAATAAAGTAAATAATGCAAATAATCATAATACGTCATCTCAGAGATATAGACAGATCCTGATGAAGGCCAGAGTGTTCAATGGCTGAAATGTTGTGAATATGGCAATGAAGATGAGGATAACAGTCCAAATAATGTAAATAATGCAAGTAATCATAATACCATATCTCAGAAATATAGACCTAAATTTCTTGGTATAATATTATCATATGGCTTAGAAATGAGGAAAGGTTGAATGGGTTTTGGAGAAAAGAATTCTCAATTAAAAAAATGAAGTCTTGGTATATCACAGATGACAGTGATTAACACAAACTGTTGCATGTGATTTATTCCTTATTTATTCATTTGAAAATACAAAAAATAATTTTTAAAATGAAAAAATTTATTTCGAAAGAGAGAAAAAAATTATTATGAAGATTTGCTGTTTTTAAAGCATTTGATATTTATATGCATCATCTTCCTTAGTGAAAACCACCAATGGTTTAAAATGATTTTTCTCTTGTTGTACCTTCAGTCACTGTTATGAAATTCAAGAAACATTATTTTTTAATAATCTTGTTTATGTTGGTAATTATGTATGAGAAAATGTGAGTGAACAAGTGAGGATGAAACAAAACAAAATTTTAACAAATGTTATTTCCCTCATGAAATTCGATGTACCATTCAGAAAGTCAAACAGGTCGCATGTGGCCCGCACAGTAGCATAGGACAGATAATGGTTGACACAAGATTTGATAGATTAAGATCATATTTATTTTAACCTAAGGAAACATACTTGTTTATAATCCACACAAAAGTTGGTAATGTTGCTAATGTTAAGACAAGAACAACACATATAAGATTCTTGTCATGCACATAAAAGAAGTAGTCAACTGAATTTATCTCTGTATCTTCAACTGCAGTGGGTAATGGGGTATCTAAATCTGTATAATCAGCAAAAAATTCCTATAGACTCCATATATAAACATTAGTCATTTGCTGTTTCCCGATTTTAGTATTCTCTGCCCTTCGACATAGCCTTTGTCCCAAGGGATCCTTAGAGAGGCAGAGACTTTTATTTTTTCAAGAACGAATCTCCAACTGCAGGATATCTACCAAATCAAGGCATGGTTCAGTGGGCACAAAGCAAATTTTTGTGTGTGGAATCTTAGCCCGTAGGCTCAGCCAAAAATTTCCGTTTACCCTGTATAAAAATGAGGTTATTAGTTGTTTCTCATAGGTGAGACTCTGTCATTCAAGATCTTCCATTCATCTCATTTATAGTTCTAAGCCCGAGGCAGAGAGTTTAACCAGCATTTAAAAGATGAATCTCCGGCTACAGACCAACATACTACAGCGAATAGCCTTTAGCTTATCTGGACATTTTTCATGAACATAGTGAGAGTGGCGCTAGAGGCTATCAATGCAAATCTCTGAACGAAAGGGTAAATTATACTTAATGGAATATAATTCATTGCCTACAATTAAATGGAACTATCCTTTACAATAATGGAATATGGAAATGATACAAAATAGTTGTGTACGTGGTGCAAGGCAATAATTAGCTTTGGTTTTATTTACAGGTAAATAAATATAACAAGCCCAACTGGAAATTTCTCATTCTAATTTTTTCCATTACACCACCTGCACACCCAATTTTTTATGGGTAATCTGCTAGTATTATTGTTGGGTATCCCCAAAGAATTTGAGTGAAATTGTCCAAGATTTACTTGGCTACAGCTCAGGGTGAGTTATACAAGCAAAGTTTAATTCATGTGGCACAAGAAATTTTTTATTCTGCCAATATTTGCTTGAAATCCAGGGGGCCATCCCCAGGCAGTAATTTAGCCCAGGAAATCTAGTGTCATTGCCCAGCACCTGTGGTCCCCAAAAAGAGTAAATGCCAAGCAATTTTTCTATGGTACTACTAAATAACTAACCTACATCAACCTTTGACCTTTGTATCACATTTTGTTACAACATGGCTGCACAGATAAATACCATTATATGAGTAACATCCTTGCTTTATTAATGTGTAAATAAAGTGTTTGTAGTATTGCACCACAATATTCAGTCTCTTTATTACCATGGTGTTAACTGTTGTAATAATTATACATTTTCCCTTGTGTACCGATGACATGAATTCAAGCATGCTACTAGATTGGCATCTAGGTCCCACTCGTTTACTGTTGATTGCCACTTCTACTCCAAAAGCTTCTTTCCTCACACTTTCTGCCTGTGGAACTCCCTTCCGTTTCCTTGCTTCAATGATAACTACAATCTTCAAAAAATTAAATGCAACATCAATTACCATCTTCTGTCTTCTTGGATCCTGTTCATCTTTTGTCCTTCCTTCAATCCTCCCTATACTCGGTCTTTTCTCTCATTTTCATCCCCTTGTATCCCCTTGCACGCTAGTGACATTCCAGCCTTGCTTGGGATGAAATGATAAAAAAAAAAATCATGTGAGTGATTTATGACATTAATGTCATGAATGTCATTAAGGGATTGATTTGTTTTTTTTATGGTTTATCAACCCTTTGCTGATTATTTAAAGCCAAAACATATTTGAAATTGTAATAATATTTCTTTCTTTTTTTATAAGTTAATATTGCATTAACAATATTTTGAAAATAACAATGATTTTTTCTAAATGCATGTCATACTATTTAACCCATAGATGGTGGGGAGATGGATTCATCCCTTTCAGATGGTAAGAGAGTAACAGAGAATTAGAGAGGATGGGATGAGAGAGTGACAGTGAATTCTAAGTGCTCTTGAATAGAAGTTGATTATTCTAGATTTTATTTTCTTGTTGTGGTGTGTTGATTGATTTTTATGGCTTATCAACCCTTTGTTGGTTATTTATTTTAGATTGCAAAAATAATTCTTTTTTCTTTTTTTTTTTTTTTTTTTGAGAGTGAATATTGCATAAACAGTTTTTTGAGAATAACAATGATTTTTCCAGATACAAGTTGTACTATTTAACCTATAGTTAGGGGTAGGAAATAGACATGGATTCATACCTTTCCCATGTAACTGAATGTAATGAAACCAGCTGAAATTCGAACTGAGCAGGAGACATCTAAATGATGAGACTCAGAAATTTATCAAGTAAAAGAAGCATTGCATTTTTATTTTATATATAAAAAGGAAGTCAAATACTTTGAAATCAGAACATGACTAGCTTAAATTCTTATTGCAATTGTCAGCAGTGTCTTTGACCACAGTCATCACTTTCAACTGACCTGTTGCTTTAAATGACCAACGTCCACAGGATGGAGGAGACTACCTCCCTCCTCTTACTTCTGAGGGTCGGAAATGTTACAAGGTCAAAGGTGATATTCTTGGTTTCAATTACGCTCTTTGCTTCCAAGTGTAAACACCAACAGGATATGCTAATGGCTTACATTGACATGACACCCACTTGATCTTTTTAGTTTAAAAAATATAATTCCTCTATAAAATCATATTTTGTTGATGCAGGTGTATGTGGTGATGGCTTATATTAGGGAAATTAGAGAAGATTTTTTTTTTTTTTGCGTTTTCAAAATGAGTAATTATCATTATTATAAACTGATTTACTGTCTTTAGTACCTCAACTAATTTGCTGAAAAAACAGCATAGTATGATGAAAAAAGGCACCAACCTTAATAGTTAAAAGTTTTATTATCAGAATGTTTATGTTATTAAAAGGAAAGACCAAAGTATTTTTCATTATTTTATTAAAATTTTTCATTCTTTCTAGCACATTTGAAATTTTGGTTAATTTTTTTTTTTTTTTAAATCGCATTGAATTGGAAATTCTTGCAAAAATCAAATATTTGTCAGATTTTAATGAAACTTTCAGGATTTAATCACAAATGAATGAAATTATTTTTGGATCTTGGTAAAAGTAGTTTTTTTACATATGTTACCCACAATTTAATTAATTTCATGAAAATTCAAGAAATTGAATTTTAATTGCAAAATTTGTTTTATTAGTTAAAAGCAAAACTCCTTAGAGAATGTAAATCATCATTTTTTTTTTCAAAATGTTACTCATTCCCTGAAAATATGACCTGAATCATAAAATAAAAAAAATGCAATAAAACTAGTGAGTGTCTAGTATCCTTATCTTGATTGTTATTGTCATTTGTTTCCAAAGATTGAACACCTAACTGCAGATAAGTTGATTTCCTTAACTAGTGTTTTTATTTATTAGGCCATGTGTAACAAGTTTTGTATAGAGCCAGCATAATGGGGCACTTAGTGAAGATCAAATTCACTACAAAATGGCTTCCAAAATGTTCATTTGCCATCACTCTACTTGAGACAACAGTTCTCGTCTCTTTATTTTTGTTGTTTCTTTTGATTGTAACAATTGACCATATATACTCGCATATCATGTGACCTTTGAAGACCTAATTTTGAAGTTAATTTAACTACAGTAAATGGATATATAGTTTGCTCAATGGTGTAGCCAGGGCCAGTAGTACATATGCACTAATTTTATCTTTTGTATGATGTGACTCCCTTAAACTTAGCTTCAAAAATAAAAGATGATTAAAAATCTTCCGTGATCTCCAATATATAAGAATAATATTTTTTTTTTTTTACATGCATTGACCTGTCTATATTTCTGAGATGAGGTATTTCTTGTTTGAATTTGCATTATTCAGACTAAAAGGGCTTTGTCACCATGTTTATCAGGAACATTTCGGCCTTTTGTTCTCTGTCCTTCTTCAGGTGGTTGGAATGTTGAACTGAACCCTTTATTTTGCTCACTGGAGTAGACTGTTCTAGTTACATGTATAGTGATAGAAATGACTTTTTTTCTTCATTTATTTTTGATAATTTATGGATTCATTTATCCAGAATTTTGAATTTTATCTGTACATATTTCTCAATCTCTTGTTAGAAACAAAAAAAAAGTCTACTGAACTGTCTAAATTTCTGAGATGAGGTATTATGTACAAAATTTACAAATGGATCGTCCTCATCTTTGTGATACCTATTTATTACAACACTTTCGCCCTTCAATATCTGTCTATATTTCTGAGATGAGGTATTATGTATACTATTTACATTATTCAGACTATTGTCCATCTTTGTCACCATATTTATTTTACAGTGTTTTGAGTTGTTTACTGTCTTTTTGGTTCAAAACTTGGAGAGGGGAATTAACAAAGATAACTGATAAATGACATCCATTAAACATGGTATGTGGAACTAGAACAGTTTTCATCTTTGGAAATAAAGGGTTTCAGTTCAATATTCCAACCACCTGAATTCTGATATTGTGATAAACATGGCGACAAAAGATGAGGACAATAGTTGGAATAATGTAAATAGTGTAGACTGCATTGACTTTTAAATTAATTAATTTGGAGACATCGATGATCAATTCCAAGAACTTAAAATATGGCATTACTTTCCAAACAGTCTTATACCATATCCTGAGAGTTTATCTATCATCAAAGAATAAAAGAATTGCTTTCAATCTGGATCATGCATAAAATTCAGGGTTCCCACAATACATGATGTCACCTTATACACGAATATCTATGGTAGTTTCATACTTGACTTTTGTCTTTTCTAATAATGTTTATAATCTTGACAAATAAATTTATGGTTTGTTGCAGTTAAAAGGAGTTTTTAGCATCCCGCTACCACTTTCTTATCAATGTTGAATTTTGTACAAATCTGTGCAAAAAGTGGATCACAGAGCTTACCCAGCTTCATACGTATTTTCAGGAAATCTCAACTTCTAATTTGTCAATAAACACAAGTGGGCATTGCAATCCACCCACGTACAAGTATTTTTCCAGTGCATGGCCAAGTCAAGTTTTCCCGCCATTTTCTGTGATCCTGTCACATGATTACATTAATTATAAATATCAAACACAAGCTTGCTCATTCTCTCTCTTCTTTCTTGATTTCTCATGCTACAAGATGTAGTTGTAAAAAGGATCCTGTCTCGACCATGTGCGGTCAGATGTTAAAAGAATATTCATGCATGCATGTACGTATGAAATTTTCTAAACTACATTACAAACATTTTCAAAAAACTTTTCTATTTGAAATACTCTTCTAAACCTACAGTTTATTCAGTATTTCTCAGCTTTATAATTAATTCAACTTTTGTGAGCTCAGATAAAAATATTTCAATTCATCGGTAAAACTTTAATTCAGTCAAGGGGACATAACACCAACAGAATAATAACCTCTACGCATGTGCATCATTACACAAAAATAAATATAAATGTTGTTTTTATAAAAAAACGTTTTTATTCCTTCTTGCTGTTTCATATTTTGTGATATTTTGCGTTAAATATAAATCATGTGATCATGTTAATAACAGACATCTACAAATGGCCATTCTGGTTAACATATAACAACAATTTTTTTATTCTATCTCCAAAAATACATTATTACTTTTCTAAGCAACTTCTTTTCCATATTGTCCATTTGTCTGTCCACAGGAATAAAAGAATTAGTTTCATTCTGATCCTTTCCCTCTGCTAATAACGCTGATTATGATACTGGCAAATTTAACATTTCTTATGGGATTTTTATTCGATCTCTAAATATTCAACATTAATTTCAAACAAAAAGTCTTTTAAGATTTTTCATTTATCCGTCTATCATCAGGGAATAAAAGAATTAGTTTCATCCTCAGCTTTTCCCTTTATAAATAATGATGATTATGGTTTTGACAAACAAATTGAATATCTTCTACATTTGAATGAGATTTTTGCATCTCCAAAAATACGACATTACTTTCGAAACAATCATTCTAATACAACAAAAATGTCCTTCTCATTGAAACCTTTAAAAAAATGAAGTTCATTTTTCACTTTGTCCATGCATCTATTATTAAATAAAATTTTTTTTTGGCTTGATATTTATTTTTAATCAGATGGAAGAATTTACCATAACACAACAAAAAAGGTCTTAAAAATATAATAAAAATTTTCCTTTGATTTTCTTTTTTTTATCTGTTCCGTTTATTCACACATCTTGATTGCCCTGGGGAAGTGAGATATATTGGGAGATATGGGTTGACTTATTTATCCTCACCCACCCTGGTCCTTATTTTATGCCTGGCTTAAACAGCTTCATTGCCTTATAATTCAGTCTTGATTATTTTGTTTTAGTCTTCTATAAACACTTTTTTTTTTTTTTGTATCATATTACATATTTTTATCTTTTAATATTTTTTCTCTCTTTTTCTTTCTCTTTGATTTCTTATTATTTTCTTTTTCTTCATGTTTTTTTCCTTCTTTTTCTTCATGTTTTTTCCTTCTTTTTCTTCATGTTTTTTCCTTCTTTTTCTTCATGTTTTTCCTTCTTTTTCTTCATGTTTTTTCCTTCTTTCTCTTCATATTTTTTCCTTCTTTCTCTTCATATTTTTTCCTTCTTTCTCTTCATATTTTTTCCTTCTTTCTCTTCATATTTTTTCCTTCTTTTTCTTCATGTTTTTTTCCTTTTTTTCTTCATGTTTTTTTCCTTTTTCATCATGTTTTCCTTTTTTTTTCCTTTTTTCTTTTGCCTTTTTTCTTTTTTCTTTTCTTTTTCTCTCTGTTTTTACTTATTTTTCATTCATTTTCTCTTTTTCTCTTTTCTTCCTTTCTTTTTTTTCTCTCTCTCTCTACTTATTTTTCTTTCTTTAATTTCTTTTATCTTTTTCATTCATTTTCTCTTTTCTTTCTTTTCTTTTTCTTATCCCTCTTTTTTTCTCTTGCCTTTTTTCTTCTTCCTTTCTTTTCTCTCTCTCTCTCAATTTACTTTTCTTTCTTTAATATTTTTTATCTTTTTCTTTCATTTTCTCTTTCTTTTCTCTTCCCTACTTTTCTCTTTCCTTCTTTTTCTCGTCTTTTTTCTTTTTCTACCTTCCATTTCTCTTTCTCTCTCTCTCTCTCTCTTGTACTTCATTTTCTTTCATTTCTTTTATCTCTTTTTTCAGGTTTCTTTTTCCCATTCTTTTTGATTATCTTTTTTTACTTTGTCCTCTTTCTTTTCTCTGTTTGTTTCTTTTCCCCTTTCTTTCAAACTATTTCTCTTACCTCTTCTTCTTTCCTTTTCCTCTCTTTTCTCCTAAGGATTATAGGTTCCTTTTCAGTAGCTTGGAATGAATTATCTAAGATTCTCAAATTCCATTCAGGTTCATTAAATAAAAGTTGTAAATATATATAAAATTTAGAGATATGTCCTATCTTCTTATTATTAAACTTTTTAAATAAGTTTAATATAGTTGTAATACACAACAGAAAAAGAATTCAATCTTTTTTTAACACTGTGTGTGGAGAATTATGAATCATTCCAAAAATATTCATCTGACTGGACATCCAGTTATATCAATATATGCACTAAAACATTGTATGTCATCAAAAAACTAAAAAAAACAGCAAATTTATATTTTAAGAAAAAATCAACAATAGCTGAACATGTTAAAATTTTAAAAAGAAAAATATAATGGTAAATAACAAATTATTGATACTCTCAATTCTGAGGGGAAAACTCAACCCACCTTCAGGTTCAAACTGAAAAAAATTCACCACCAAATTTTTGGTAATAAATATGGTGTCAAATATTTTAAACAAAACACAAAAGATGGAATAAAATAATTTATACCAATATCTTAAAAAAAGTAACATGACATGAGAACAATTGAACCATAACAAAATTACATTATGTTGAAAAAATAATTTATTCTTTCAAATTCAAATATCCTTTTAAAATATATATATATATAAATATATATATATATATCTCCATAAAGAAAAGATTTTCAAATTTTCAAATCTATAGTTCTTTAATATTTTTTTTTTTTTCAAAAAACCTTCAATAGTATATAGATCAAATATTTTCAATGTATTTTTTTATTTAAAAGATGATTTTATATTTTGAACATGGAAATTTCTTCTAAGTTTATGATAATTAAATTTTTTTAAAAATAATCCGTCATCAATTCAGGCAATATCCAGGTTCATTCTTATTATATGAACTTAGTCCATTTCAGTAAATTTTCATTTTATGTTTATAAATTCTTTTTTATAAATACAAATATTTAAATATAAATGAAATGTTTAAAAATTAAAAAAACTTTTATTTTAAATAAAAAGGATTTTTTCTTATATTTTGTTTCAAAAATGTATAAACATTAAAAAAAAAATGTCTTAAAATAATTGTCAGACTTTATCAACAATTATAGTATATATATATATATATATATATATATATATATATATAAAAAATAATGGAAACCAAGCTCTATAATAAATGATTATAAAATATTACTTTTTTGCCATTAATAACATTTCTTTTTTTATTTAATTACATTTTTATAAAAACAATTATACTTCATTCAAATATATGCCTTTTTTTTTTTTTTTTTTAATAAAATTTCAGATTAAAAAATCATGTCTCAATTTCTTAACCATGTATAATAATTTTCTCTTATTTAAAGTACAAAACAATTACTTTTGGGCCAATTTTAAAAATTACTGAACGATCTCAAATTTTTGAACTGCAGTGTATATATATATATATATATATATATATATATATATATATATATATATAAAAGAAAACTTACCTTTGTCATGAGTTTTGTCCTTTGATGGACTTTACAAAACAAATATAAGGATTTTATTTTAAAAAAGTATTCATAAACAACAATATAAATTTTACATTTTATACCAAATATTTTAAATGATGATTATTATACACACAAAATATTTAGAAATGTTTATCTTAAATGCCTTACTTTTTTTAAAAAAGTGCTATTTCAAATTTTGTGGGAAAATGCATAATATTTTAATGATATTATTATTTTAAAAATATTTTAAATTGTGACACGGAAATTTCAATATTTTGGGACTTTTGATGAAAATGATTTACTTTTGAAAAAAGAAGACAATACGTTTGCTTATTAAAGAGTTAAGTAAGTGTGAGGAACCAGATTTTAAAATCTTATGGGTGTGTCTCTTTTAACTAATCAAAAGACAGGTCAAAGCTAATGCAGAAAAGTTAAAAATATAGGTCAGATGTTGAGGGGTGGTGGTATTCATACATGTCTCAGGGAACTGTCATATTAAGACACGACCCCATACTTCCTGTTAAGGATATATATTTACGTTACAAAGAAATAATTTGACAGATATGTATATCTCTAATAACAGATTAATTTCTGTTTCTTTAAAAATTTATTTTTATATTTTAGAGCTATCTTAAAGGTGCCTCTGGTATGATTAAATCATTTTTATATAATTTTGAAAGTACAACACTTATTTTATTTAATGGGCCTTAATACGTGGCAATATTAAAATTAAAAAATCAAGGAATTAAATCAATATTACATGTACTATTATATATTAAAAAAATAATGGATATATCATACATAGATTTTTTATGAAAAATCCATTAACTATTTTCTCACATGAACAATGTCTACATATTGCAGTCAGTTCGTTTCACTGATTTAATTGATTATTATTCTTAGGAAATAATATGTAGCATTTCATGTAGACACAGTGGGCAAGGGTTATTCAAAGACTTACAAATTCTCGTTTTTGTAATAATTTCCATTTTACTTTAGCAGTTTTATTGATTTCTTTTAAATACCAAAAATATTTAGATAGGGATGTTTGGTTATGGTACATATTGTTGTTAAAGGAAGAAATATGTTGGTACCATTTTAATTTAAATAAAAAATATAAAATTTCTTAACATCTGGGTTTTCAATAGATGAAATAGTTCATTGATAGACAATAGATTCAGTAAGGCATTTATTTTCCAAAGGAAATGAGATTTATTTTTAAAATTATTGATTTCTGTTTTGGAATTACTGTTATTTTATTTGACATTTAATAACAGATTCAAAAAATTTAAATTATATATTTTTATAATTTTTCTAGATTATCAGTACAACTATAACTTAATTTTAGAGTACTTTAATTGAAAATCTTGCTTCAGGGATTATTACTCAGAAAATGTTTCTCAATCAAAACAAGAAACTTTTAGACTAACCGATAAGATTTTAAGATCTGGTTCCCCCTTTCTACTTAACTCTTTAATAAGCAAATGTATTGTTTTCAAAAGTAAATCATTTTCATCAAAAGTTACCGAACATTGCCTGATGACAGGACAAAAAAATGTTAAGTCCCAAAACAGAACTCTGAGGTTTTTTATAACACTATTGGACTCTACTTTGAGCAATAAGGATTTATAATTTACTCCAGTGTAATTAATCAGAATTGGTGATGAAATCAATCATAAATGAAAATGACATGTTCATCATGAATTAATCATAATGAGGATTGGATCTTGAAGAATTTTGTTAAAAAAAGAAATATATATATATATATATATATATATATATATATATATATATATATATATTAATTATCAAGGATCATTTTCTAATTTATTCAAGATGATCTTTTCTGACTGTAAACTTCATGTACATAAAATTTATAAAACCCTGAAAAATATTTTCTGCCAGTTCATCTATCATTAATAAAACATCTTTTCTTACAACTCACCATTGTATGTTGTGGATGATATGTGGCCCCGTAAAACAAATGCTGAATGGGAGAAAACAACAAACAAAACAAAGACTTGAGTAAAAAAAAATAAATATTGCCAAGTTTATTTTTGTTAAAGAAAATACATTAACAAAAATAAGGTTACGGTGCACAAGGCAAGTGCTGTTGGTAAAGATAGCTGGAACCCTGGGACGATTTTCAGAACAGCTACTACACTTTGATCCTAGCCATCTGGGCTGTAGAGCAATCTTTTTTTTTGACTCTTTGAGGCCTTTTTATATCCTGAATCAGTTTTACAACAATTGCTGGTTAAGCTTTTTTTTTCCAATTGTTTTTAAAAACATGTGGAACTGCCAACAGGATACAACAAGGGAAATTCCCAATCATACTAAAAGAGTATATAGGTACTTCTAGAGAGCAATCTGATATTATGAGAGACATTGTTCAAGTGCATTCAGTGAAAGATAAGGGTAATGTTAACTGTTTCCTTATTTAGCATTAATTGACCAAGCATGCAGTACTGCTTTTGGTTGAAATTTATAAAATGTTTCTCTTAAAACAATTTATCAGAAAAATAGGTTTCTCAAATCCATTAGATGTTATCACTCTTTCCAGTATTGATGGAGGTTTCCTTCCTAACCTTTTATTTGAAGTGGTGTGGAATGTCAACATCTTGAGTATGTCATTATTTTCTCCTTGGGTTACATGTGCTATCCATTTTAGTTGTTGCTGCTGTTGAAAGTCCTCAATTGATGCAGTTTCTGTTATTTGGTACAGTTCTTTGTTTATGATTCTGTAGCACCAATCCACAATGTTTGAAGAAGGATGTTCTTTGCCAAGACTTCATTCACTCAAAGCCATTTTTAACCATTGATCTTAGGAAGCATTTGTATACAGCTGACAGTTTAGATATTTCTGAACAGGTTTGGTGCCATACATGAACTCCCTGTAAGGGTCGCGATGCCAGAACAGGGACTGGTAGAGATAGTAATGGGGCACATTGCTTAGAGCTACAAAGGATAGGAAGTTGTGGAGAGCCATTATCACTCACAACCTGAAGGTACAGGGAATATAGAAAAAGTCATTGAGGCACAAGGACGTTATTATAGATACTATGATATCGGTTACTATGCTGAAAGACATTGCCATCAAACTGTGAAAGATTGGTATCAGAATTAAATTTGATAAAATACATCCCAAAAAACATTTTGAACTGCTAGGTAAGCTTTTTATATTTGGGAATGAGGTTAGAATAATCCAGAACTTATACTGGGAGCAAACTTTCTGCACATGAATAGAAAATGAATTCAATAAATACATAAAAATAGAAAAGGGTCATAAGACAAGGATGTGTCTTCTCACCAGATTTATTCAAATTTTACAGTGAGGTGATTCTGAGAGAATTAAAATTTCTACTGTGATTCGTCATTGGCAGTCACATGATGGAGACTTCATTCCTAACATTTTATTTGAAGTAATGTGTAATGTCAATGTACCAAACAGGCAAATCAACTCCCTTAAAAAAAAGAGTTTACGTCCCGTACATGGTTTGCTGAAGAAAAAGGAAAGATAAATACTAGATAATT